TTGGTTACCACTCTACTGTAATGGAGTGTTCAAAATTGTAAGTACTACATGCAGTCTGTCATCTAATGGGTCCATGTAGCTTGATGTGTTGTCATCATGATGTGTAATAATGAATTCATTCCACTGCTCAGTTATTAGTGGTATAGAATTCACAATTCCAGACTCTAAATTGTGTACATTCAGGTCCTTACTTCAAGCAAAGCAGCTCAAGAGGGGAACATAATGCCTACTACAAATGTCAGTGAAGAATTCATTCTGGGCCAAGATATTTTACTCCTAACTAGTTCTGCTGAGTTTTAGGATAGCAATATTACTGTGGATGGCACAGGTTGCCCAAAATGGGATGAATCTGCTGCCATATTAAGCTGCAATTCAAGAAGTGAGTAGCCCTTAGATTACTGAAGGCAAGTTTCATACTGCTAGCTACTTTAAAAAATAGAAACACACAGGTTTCACATGCACCCGAAAATATGTTACTCTTGTGCTTGTTGTTACAGATATATTCTTATGGGAATCTGTTCTAAATAAGTTAAAGCCTCTATTTATATAACAGAATTATTTTTTTTAATGCATCAGTAGTAATGTTAAACTCAGTCCACAATCCTGCCACTTATAATTAACAATTAAATGGACAACTGTTAAGAAAAAAGAACACTTTTGCATTTGCTAACCTTGATACAGGTCATAAATAGAGACCTACCAAAATCATGATTTCACAATTTTTGCAGAAACTGTGATTTTGGACAAGCTTTGTGAAAAAGTGTGGGGTCCGTGAAGAAGCATCTGTGCTTTTGGTGGGCTCCCTGAAAAAGAAACCTTACTGAAAATAAAATGCTAACTCTCTCTGGGGAGCCAGCAGTCCTTGTGCCTGCTGCAGCTTGGCTGCATAGTCCCTTGGGGGGAGATGTGGGCTGCTTCTGCCCCTGCATCTTGCCCCTGATTGACTGAGGGCTGTCCATCATACTGTCCTGCCCCTTCCCACCAACTGGCGGTGAGGGGTGGGGCTGCATGATGAACAACACTTGCAGCCAATCAGTAGTGAGGGGCAGGGTCACCAGGACCCTTGGCCAATCAGAGGTGTAGAGGATGGGAGCAGGTGCTGCTGCACTCCAGCTGTGCCACACTCTGGCCCTGTGATCTGAACGCAAAATCAGCCAGCAGCCACCTCAAGTTCAGTAGACCCCTAGTCATACATATTCGAACAGATTTAATTTACAGTTTGTGGTGAAGCAGACTGAATTTGAAGCAATGAAACATCTTGAATATGACTATCGCTTGATAATAGAATATGACAGATCATATTTTTTTTTCCCATTTTGATGTTTCTTATGCAAAAAAAGGAAGAGAGACCCTGGTCCACTGTGCAACAAGACAATTCTTCAAATTTAAGTAATACACTAACTATTGTTTGTGGAAATTAATGTTTTGCATTCAGATTTTGGTACTTTGTATATTTTTTCCTTTGACCCCAACTTTATAGGTAGGTAAAAAGAAAAGGACAATATTGTAGCTAGAGTCTGGAAACAGGGTTTCTTGCGGTATCCAAAGGTAGCTTATAAAACAGGTCTCTTAATTTGATCTCATAATTTTTTTCTTTTGGCAGCTTCTCTGTTCCCTATCAGGTACGCACATGTACTATATATAAATTCAGAGGCTGTGTACATACATTCAGATAATCTGGGAGAATTCTCCTAGGTTAGCTCTCCAGATAGAGAAACTTACCCAGGGCCACATTTACAGACATTTGAATACTGAGGCCCTGAAGAGTGGAGAGCTTACAGTGCTGGCTCTGCAGCTGCGGGGAGCCCTGTGCACACATCTCAGTGTGCTTTGCAGGCTTCCTTAGTTCACCTAGGGACAGACTGCAGCAATGCATAGAGCAGCCCTGATTGGCTGACCCAGACTGCCTATGGTTAGCCTGTGATTCCCTGCAGCCCACTGTGGGGAAATTGCAAAGGGGACATGTTCTGCAGCGGCAGAGTCCAGCAAATGACAGACTGTCTCCCTTGTAGGTAGGTGGGGAAGCTGGAGAACTATCTTCACTTCTGAGAGAAGCCATGGCATGTACAGACATTTGTTGTCCCAGGAAAATCTTTCTTGGGAGTGATTTAAACACGGTTGTTCCTAGGTTATTTTTCTCTTGGAGTGGTCATTTTTTACCCTGGGAGAAAAAGCCTGAACATCTGTATACTCATTGTTCCTCCTGGGAAAGCAGTGACTCTTCCAGGATAAACTGAGTATCTGTATAAGGCCTTGGGTGTGTATGAATGATAAATCCTGTTTGTGCTCAGTTTCGCTGCCTTAGGTAGGAATTCTGAGTTTGCTTCTAAACTTTTTTTTTTTTTTTATAATGTAGCCATGCTTTTTTTAGTGTAGCCATTTTTTTTTTTTTTTACTTCCTCTGAAGCATTAGGTATTGGCTGCAGCCAAGCCTAGGTATTTTGACAGGGGTGACAGATGCTTTTGCTGGTACTTAAACTCTAGCTATAGGGTTTTACTCAGAGTTAGACTGATCATCACATTTGGGACTGGGAATTTTGCCCTGCAGTCAAATCAGCGTGGACTGTGATGGTGATGGGTGTTGCCTTTCTCTGTAGCCAGGAGCATAGTCCTTCTCTTCTTCCTGTTTCTCAAGCACATTTTAACAAACTATTTTTAGTGGTAGGACATTGACATTGTTCTCATTCTCCTGCTTTATCTGTAGCAAGTTAGGCTTTTTTGGGTATTGTGCCCGGTATATGTACAAGAGGGTTGCATGTGAAGCTTTAAGAATAAGTTAGGAGAACACTTGTATAGAATGGCTTGTCTTGAGCAGGGGATGGGACTAGATGACCTCCAGAGATTCCTTCCAGCCTTACTTTTCTATGATTTTATGAACCAATTTTTGTGGTTTGTTTGCTATAATAGTTTTAACGGCATATTACCCTTTGATTTTATATAGAGAACTAATCTCTCTCTTTGTGGAAAACTAGTGAATGTAAAGGGAGTAGAAATTCTTCTGTTGGGTCCTGTTGCCTGCAGGATGTAATGTAGTGAAGTAGTTTAAGAGACAAGTGTTGGTCTTCTGATTAAAATGAGAAAATGAGGAATGAGACAATTGTCAAGATGTAACTGCGTTTTTTCTAGGGTAGACTGAAGACTGGCTTAAACCTTGCAACAGCAGGAAGGAGAGATTAGTTATAGTCTGTGGTATGAGTTTGTCCTTTTTAATAACCTGTCTTAACATCTTATACAAACCGTATAGAAGTGCTACGCTACAGCTCGCTGACACCTTCATGTTAACAATGGGATCTATTTTGCCATCATATTTGATCAGGGCTATATGTGATTAAAAACTGAAGTTAATATTAATTAACTTGTAATATAGTAGAAGCAGTTCTCTGTGTTAAATACAGTTCATATGTATGCAGGTAACATATCGGCCTCCGGCTTCCAAGCTTTTAAGGCTTCTGATTATAAGGTGCTCTTTTACATAACTGTAGCAAAGACAACTTTTTTGGTGTAACATTATTTCATTTATCAGTTACTGTTTCTAACAGAAACTTTTCATAATGATTAGCTCAATATTCAGCCCTTTCCAATTTAATGGCTACTGTTATCTGTCTTCTCATCGATTATCTGTGCTTTTCGGTAATCTCACTCAGAACAAAAATTGTATACAGAAATGCTTTTTTTTTTGTTGTTGAATTTCCTCACACTTTTTTAAGAGCTCATTTTTCAACAGACAACTTTTTTTGTCTTTAAGCTCTGTTTTGCAACTGTCTTTATACTCTGAACCAGGACTATGCAACTTTGACATGACTGGGTGCTAGGCACTGCTTGGGCACCCCCTAGGATCCTTCCCTGCTGTGTGGGCTGCACCAGTGTTACACAGTGCCTTCATGCATGGCAATGGGAGAGGCAGTTGCAGGGGACCACGGGCTTCATGTTAACCATTTATGTGCCATATGTCAGTGGTTCTCAACCTTTTGCACCTTACGTCCCACTTTTGTCAAAAAACCATGGTTCCACCATGATAAAAACAAAACCTGATTTTTTCCCAAGAAGTGTATTTTTACATTTACATGCATTTTAGTATTGTATTAATTATTAATGGAAATTTTCAAATGAGTTGAAGTCCCACTTACATGATCTTTGCATCCTACCAGTAGAGAAACATTGCCTTACGTGACCTGTGGACCACCAGTTGGACAGCCCTGCTCTAAACTAGTGATACTCAAATCATGTCCACTAAGCCACAATGGTTTTGCAACTTAACATATGCAGCATCTGGCAGAAAATGTTAACAAAGGTGGTTTCCCTGCCCTGCATTGTGTCTGCATTTCCCGCATTTAGTAGTCAATAGTGTCTTACCTATTTTGACATATTTATCCTTGGCCTGTGCAAATGTTGACTAACGTACATTAGTTTTACTTTTTGAATGGATGTGTTTGTTGCAGTTCTACAGGGGTGAACATGTTGTGGTTTACTTGTTAGCATGGTTCTGAACACTGACTTGGGTAGTATGTTGAGAGTATGCTAAGCTGTATGTCATTGCTCCATGGTGAGCTGCCATAGTAGTTAAGGAAGCTAACTTTTACATACGCCTTCCAGCCCTCATTGTTTTAACATGGAATTTTACAGGTGTCATAGACCCCACCCTGCACTATGCTAGATTAGATTTGAATGTTGGCTAGGCATAAATTGATGGGTTCCAATCATATTTCTTCAGAGTGAAATACTACTTGATTTTAAAATTAGACTACGGAGGACTCAGGAAGAGAGAGGGGACAATGGAGTAATAGCTATAAATAGAAAATTCCTTTTTGTAAATATTAGAGGAAAAATATAACGGCAATTAAAATAAAAATATAGCAATTAACATGCATAACATAATCTTAGTTTTCTGTTTGCCCAGACACACACAGCTCAATTTATTTGTTTTACTGGATATTAAATGCCTGGTCATTCGTGTATATTTAGAAAATTGCTTCTTAACACTGCACTCTTTCTTTTCTTAGGTTACAAAGCAGCTAAATGGAGTCTGAGCAGCTGTTCCACAGAGGTTACTATCGAAACAGCTACAACAGTATAACTAGTGCAAGCAGTGATGAGGAGCTTTTAGATGGAGCAGGTGTCATTATGGACTTTCAGACCTCTGAGGATGATAATTTGTTAGATGGTGACGCATCAGTTGGTAAGTTAATGCTCATTTATGGCTTTCCTGACATACAATACTTCTTGTTTGTTTGAAAAGAGAATAATTTTTGTAGCATCAATTAAAAGTTTTCAGTTCTCTTCAGCAACTTTTTCATGAAAGGATTAATTAAAAAACAAATCAATTGGTACTAGAAACCATCCTGTCACGTGTCTGCCAAGATTTCTCTTGCTAAGTAGTTATATTAGCCTCTCACATTGACAAATGCTAACTTTGCTAATAATATTATGTCTTCTGTCATTGCTTACCAACTTGAAAAATGTTGTTTCCCTTCCCTGGGGGAAGTCATAAAAGCAGCATCCTCTTAACATTTCGGGTTGTTTTCAACTGAGAAGTTTACAAAGATAAACTCAGATATAAACAGCAATCCATAAAAATAGTTATTAGCTGTTGTCTTGGTTAGATGTAGCAGTACTATTTTTTTGTGCTTGCTGTCATCTGTTTCTCTGTATTATTCATTTCCATTATTTATTTCCATTGGAATGAAGTGGTTAATTCTTCTGTGGTTAATCTTAGTGTTGCCAAGAATCCCAGGAAAAGCTCACTGTCCCTCCAGTGTACTATGTGACTGAAGTGACAAATATGTGCTCACCAGTGAATGACAAACTTCCTATCAAGAAGGAGGCCAGCCATGACAGACGTACAAATATAATGTTTGAAGGGCTCCAGGTGCCTTTGAAACACACTCCAAGCAGTGAGTGTGCAGATGTTTATGTTCAAAGAAGTGCTTCAGAAATTCCTGGAGTGCTTCAAAATCATCCTTGAAAATGAGGAACATCTTTGAAGTACTTTTTTTTTATGCTCAATGGACTGTGATGGAGGGGTTGGTTGGTTCTTCAGCTTTCTATGGTACTCTGTACCTGTGGAGGAGTGGGGTGGACAACCAGTGAGCTTTCTCCTGTGCACTTACATTCTTCAGCAATCTCCATGGCTGAAGAAAAGGATTCCTTGCATGCTTTTCTACCTCCAGACCTGGGAAATGAGAAGTCACATGCATAGGACAACACTCATTGGCTGTCCACCTTGCTCTTTTCTTCCCCCAACAATTTTCCTCCCACACCTTGCAGATGGGGAGAGAGGAGAGGAGAGTGGAGTCACAGGACCAAGCAATCCCCTGTCCAGCCAGAGACCTGAAAGAAGTGAAAGGAAATGGCTTCTGCTTATAGTAGCACATCTGGCTTTTTTTGTACCCTCCAAAATATAACTTTATCACGAGTGCCTTCCTATTTCCAAATCAAATTCAAAATTAATTATTTGGTTCCCAAGACTTACTATGGATTTTTCTAACCTGTCTTCCTAATCATATTCTTCCCATTCTGTCCAGGTAGTTGCTCTACTTATTTCTTTCTTAGCAGGTTGGTATTGGTATTCTCTTGGTAACTTTCCTGTATCTCCCACCTTACAAGTTAAATTTTGCCTAGAAATGTGTATTTTCCTTTCTTCTTGCTTGGACTAGTGTTTCATGATGACTGACAAAGTGATCTAAAAAGTTATATAAAAATTAAATCCAGAAATCTGTTTTAAACGAAAAACATCAACATTGCAGAGACAGGCACTCAAAGTTTGAAAATGCTAGATTAAGGTTGCCTGCACAACTTTAATTGACCCATTGAGTAAAGAGATTATGATGCGGTCTTTTTAATTACATGATCTCATGCCTTTTCTTCCTCCTCATCTCTGCCTCATTGAATATAAAAAATGGATGGCACTTGCTGAATGGGTTGCTATTTAATATTTAATTTTACCATCTTCATTCAGTGCATGACTCCACATAACCTAAACGCCATATTGGATGCAGAATTATTGATTTCCTCATAGGCTTTTTTATGGCACTTAGCAGTGTCGGCGTGTTTCAAGCCCATTAATGAATTTCTCTCCCCTGTTTGACATCATTGTGAAAGTGTGGCAGAGACGAGGGTAAAATCTAGTTCTCCAGGATTATGTTCAGCTGCTTTAAACCATGAGATCATCTTTTCTCTTTCTACTGGCAGCCTATCTCATTCTCTATATAAAGCAGTCTCCCTTCACTACAAAACTTCAAATTATTCCCTAAGCATAATCCATCCAATACATTTTATGAAGCAGATATTCTTTTAAAAAAGCCCTCATGTGTGACCATTTATTTAAGGAATGACCCAATGCATTCACACTATGGGTCCAAAATAAAGTTTGTACAGACGGCCATATGTCTAGGATTTTCTAACTTGTCAGTGCTTGATTTTACAATTTTAATTTTTTTATCTTTTTTTTATATGCAATGTCCAAGGTTTTAAGAAAAGAAAGTTGAAAAAGTAGAGCTGCTCTAATGTGGATTAATGATGACTTATGCAGGGTGAGTCAGTAGCAGGGTTAGAATTTTTGGATCTACAGCAGAGGTTCTACCACTCTAATTAATGGAATAACTGGTAATATCAGTATACTATAACTATGTAATTGGGCCAGATATAGAAAGATGATCAGCCAGATGCTTTACCAGCTTTTTGCTGACAGCAGAGGATTGCTGAAATTTAGCAAGTGCAGTTCCAGAATCTGAAGTGGAGTTGGCTACAGACTAGCTTTATCTCTTCCTGCCACTTTCTGTCTCTGTCCTCTACTCTTTAACTCCTTTCACCCAGCTCTGCTCTTATTTGACTCCATCCTTTTCCCCTCCTCCCTCCTACACCTGTTGCCCTATTGCAAGGGTGTCAAAGATATAGCCCAGGGGCCAGATCCAGCCCACGGAGCCCTATTATCCAGCCCTGGTGCTGCCTGCAGGTCATAGAGTTGACACACAAGCAGTATGCAGGTCATGCCAAATGGCTGCATGCAGTCCTTGCTTTGGTCCATTGGGAACCACGCATGCTTCATCACATGTCAGTTCCATTCCAGATGCTGTGCTGCATCCCAGAATTGTTGATATGTGAAGTATGGCCCTGGATCAGCCATTTTATCCAGTGTCCACTTTGGGTGCTCCAGGACACATGCTAGATCTGGCGTGCGGGGCTGGTCTCTGGGTCCCATTTGGCCCATGGACTGGCCCCAACCCCCCTTATTCAGCTTGTGGGGCTGGATGAGTTTGACACCCTGGCCCTATTGCATTCTATACCTACGCACACATTCCACCGAGTTATTCCCTCCTAGTCCTCCTCTGCACTTCCTGGACATCAGCAAGAAAAGCACTGAAAGCACAAGACAGTTCTCTAGTGCATGGGTTGGCAATCTATCACCTGCGGGCCTGATCTGGCCAGTGAAGAGATTGGATCTGGTCTTCAGCAGCTCTTGGAGTTGGCAGCACGCTCCAGCCAAAGCAGCAGAGGCAACTTCCACAGGGTCGTTGTACTTGCCTTGTTCTATCTATTCATAGAATCATAGAAAATGAATGTTAAAAGAGACCTCAGGAGATCATCTAGTCTCACCCCCTGCTCAAAGCAGGAGCATCCCCAACTAGATCATTTCAGCCAGGACTTTGTTGAGCCAGGCCTTAGAAACCTCCAAGGATGGAGATTCCACCACTTCTCTAGATTACCTGTTCCCATGCTTCACCACACTTCTAGTGAGAGAGTTTTTCCAAATATCCAACCTAAACCTCTCTTGCTGCAACTTCAGACCATTGCTCCTCGTTCTGTCATCTGTCACCAATTCTTTATTCCCTTCTCAGCATCTGCTGATTGTCAGGAAGGTGTGGGGATGCAGCCTGCAGTGAGGGATGGCTTATAAGCAGTGATCTGTGGTGGCAAAAGTTTGCTAACCCCTGCTCTGGAGAACTGAAGAGAGAAGCAATCGCAGGGGTCCTACTCAGTCTCCAGCAGCTGTGGTATGAAGTAGGCTTGGCACACCTGGCTAGAATTGGATCCTGGGGTCCTGTGCTGGCTGCTTCTGGTCAGGATCAGGTCTTAGGGCCCTGTGCATGCCCTGCCCAGCCAGGACTGGGTTCTGGAGCCCTGCACTGCCCTGGTCTGACTGGGTTTGGGCCCTCTGCTGTGCTTTGCTGCATGCCTGACTTAGCACACAGGGCCACAGCCCATGGGGTTCCTCACAGGATCTGTGGGAAGCCCTGTGGGCTGGACAACACAGTGCTGGGGACCAGATCTGGCCCACAAACCAGAGGTTGAGTACCCCATCCTAGTTAGTTCCGTGTGTCATGTAGCACCTGTGTCGTCTAGTATCTGCCTATCTCTGCTGGATATCCAAAGCTATGTATTGCTGATTTTTGTATTAAAACTCTAAGTTAAGCAAAGAGAAGTGATGTGCTAGCAGGTAATAATGCTCTATCTTGTGCTTGTTATGGATAGTAAAATTAGGTCTGAAGAACAAATTAGATTAAAAAGCAAATGACTATAACTTCATTCAGTGCTTTAAAATAGGTATGAATTGTTTGGAACGGATCTGCTGGCACGTGAACCTTAGTTCATAAGATATTTCCTTCCTGGAAGTGAGTTGTTTTATCAATGGCATACTTATACGTTGTCTGCAGAAAACCTGGGCACTCAATACAAGAAGAATTTTACCTTAATTGTTAGAATGGTTAGAATGTATAATTTCCCAGGGTATTTAGACTTCTCGTCAGTAAAATAAAGTATTTTCTGTAAGCTGTCAGAAAGACACCTAATTTGTAAAGTGTAGAGACCTTATAGTTATCATTGTAAATAGCTTGGGAGAATTTTGATTGAAGTGGTAGAATCTTCTCTATTAATTTTGTTAGGTACATACAGAAAACATTCTGTGAAACTACACACGTGTGTGTGTGTGTGTGTGTATGTATTCTCTCTTTCATTTGTGAGCTTTAGTTTGTCTTCATGCTAACGTTGTTGACAGGGCCAAAACCAACCAAGTGCCTTCCTACTGAGATTTCATGATTTCATTATTACGGATGTTTTTTGTTCTTAATATATTTTGCCCTCCATTTTTTTTGCTTAGCTAATGCTGTTTTCCTGATATTTTAATTGGGTTTTCTTCCCTTCCCTTCAATTGTAATAATATTTTAGTGTTTATTGTATCCA